TTTTTAGGGGAGGGGGGGGGGGGACATTCAAAACAGGGCCGATGGTAGGTGAGACTAGGACTAAGCCCAGAAAGGGGAGAAACGCCAGGGAGAACACAAATTGCTCATGCTCCCCCAGAATCCCTTCCCTTCCTAGGGCTTAGTCCAAGCACAGTAATTGGCTCTTTCACTTAGATGTCCCCCCTCCCAAGGGGTGTGAGCGCCGAATTTTTTCAAATATAACAGGAAGAAGGTTCTAATCTCGGTTTGACTGACCTCTCTTCACTAGAGAGGTGAAATACCGTTAAATTCTTGGTAGTCGATGAAGTAAGATGATGTTCGTAGAGGTTAAACACGGGTTTGGGTCTCGTCTGAGGCCAAACATTTTCTACGAAGCTCAGAATCTTTCGATGAAATTAGCTGCACAAAATACGACAACAAAAACAGAAATCTAGTCAAAAACTTCAATGACAAAACTTTGGAATGTTTTTAGATGTTTGTTTGGAAAGGGGTAGTACTTTGTTCAACCATATCACTCTAGTTTACCCCTGTAAAAAATAAGGATAAATATATGGTCTGAGAACGAAAAGCCGGTTTCCATTTATAGGCCTCATCAATGCAGCCGGTTTTCCTTCTTCGCTTTTCAAGATCCTGAAATCATCTTTTGCTTTCGTTCACCCATTTTTCCATCAACCCGTCGTTTTTTTTTCATCAGCCCGTCGTTTTCGTTTCCGTCTATGAGGTTCATACCCGTGCTGCGCGGATTGCGCAGGTTTTTCCAGGCTTTGGATGCTTCTTTTGAATTCAACAGCGGGTGTTATTAACCCTAGAAATAAGAGTAGTATGCAGGAGAAAAATCAAGGGACAGTTCCAAAATAACTTGGTTTCTAAGAGCTTAGCGCAAAAAATGACAGGATTTATTTGAAGCACAAGTCATTTCCTGATTTCAGTTCGGTATCAAATCAGTTTCACTAAAAGACCGTTGGAATCCGAATTTCGACGAAGTACCATTGGTGATTGGGCGCTGAATAGAAAATTTCCGACGAACTCCTCGCCGATGTATCCCAAAATTCTTTCATAAATTCAATAATAAAGTGTCAAAGATGGCGTAGAATTATTTGATTTCGCGCGTGGGTTGTGTCACGCACAGAGCATCCACGTATGTCAGAGGCGGCTTCTGCTTCGGTCGTACTCTGTTGGGAGCGTTGCTCAAAGGCGTCGCTTCGCAATTAGCCATGTGATCGTTGTTGCGAAGTTCGAGCTTTATTTGGTCGAGAAAACCGCCACACAGGGTGGTCTTTGACCGTGTCCTGCAGTTCCACGATACAAAAATGTGCATGCCCTATGTTTCGGGGTTGCACGAGCTTTTCTGCATGTGATGATCAGGTGTTGTGTAGTGAAGTGAGTGGAATGGTCGGCTAATGTATGACTGGAATGCTGTGCTGGTGGTGACCGAATACCTGCCCGCGCTCAGTTTCAGTACACCCCGTGGTGGGCAGCAGCAGCAGCAGCAGCAGACCGTCGGAGGGGTGCCGTCGACGTCCACGTCGACAATTTCGGTGCCGACAAACCATTCATCAACGACCTCCTCATCAGAATGTCCCGTGCAACGTATCTCTCCGATGTACTCATCTATGATAAATCCGGTTGTCTCACTGCAACCGAGGTGGGGTTGATTCTTTACTGTTCCTCTCCTCATTTCGTTTACCCTATCCGCTTGCAATTTCATTTCTATTAAATATACATGCAAATAGACGCACGCACGTATACACCCACACGTAAATGTGTACACATTTTTTCCTCGTATACGGTTGTGCCTCTGGTTCTTTCTTTTGTAATAGTTAGTTTTAGTTAGCAGAGTTTTCGTATCTTTTCCTTGTTAAGTATCGTAAACTATTTCGGCATGGTCACGTTGTGTAAAAATATTCATATTGGGTTGATACGACGAGCCTGTTTCTGTCGAAAGCTTCCCGTAACGATCAGAGAGATACCAGTGTTATCCTGGAAAGGGTGCTATAGTAAAACACAGGGGCATACTTTTGGATTGCACCCAGGTGCAGAAACTCCGGGTGAAATTTCACTCCTTACACACCCCTGAAGTCGAAATCTCGCCATTTCTAAAGTCTAAACGTATACCGCTTCCAACAAAAAAAAGAATTGTTGGCGCGATTTTAAATTCATTGCCACCAATATGCCCCCTATAATGTGATAGCGGTGTAGTAAGTGCAGCGATGCTCAATTCTCCGTCCCGTCCATACCAGTACGAATTCTAGGTTCATTCTAAACTGCAGACGCATGAAATTTCGAAATTAGACCCTTTCTTATGGCTTGAAAGTGGGCGCACAGGAGGCTCAAGTCTTCAGTGATTTCCTTAGGTCCCTGTGGGTCACTCCCTACCACTTATAGTACCGCCTTTTTTTTTTTTTTGTTTTTTTTTTTTTTTTTTTTTTTTTTTTTTTTTTTTTTTTTTTTTTTTTTTTTTTTTTTTTTTTTTTTTTTTTTTTTTTTTTTTTTTTTTTTTTTTTTTTTTTTTTTTTTTTTTTTTTTTTTTTTTTTTTTTTTTTTTTTTTTTTTTTTTTTTTTTTTTTTTTTTTTTTTTCTTTTTTTTTTTTTTTTTTTTTTTTTTTTTTTTTTTTTTTTTTTTTTTTTTTTTTTTTTTTTTTTTTTTTTTTTTTTTTTTTTTTTTTTTTTTTTTTTTTTTTTTTTTTTTTTTTTTTTTTTTTTTTTTTTTTTTTTTTTTTTTTTTTTTTTTTTTTTTTTTTTTTTTTTTTTTTTTTTTTTTTTTCTTTTCTTCCGACACTTCTTTTCAAATTTTATCTAGCGGCTGCCCTTTGAATGGATAGAATTAAATTATTAGGTGCCGAATGATGAATCGTGATATGCTCCAATGCGTCGAACTCGTTTCGGTATCTTTCTGAAGGCTCAGCGCGAAGTTTACCAAATATTTAATACAGGCCCCGTCGACAATTACTATATATTTTATCATCAGTTCTCAGCCCTCTACAAAGTGCGCTGACTCTTGTTGCTGTTAATAGCATAAGTGTACGGGCGTCCTTACTCATTAACTTCCGGGTGGTTGTAATATTTCTCGCTGCAAAAATAGGTTTTATATGTGGTTCGTCTCACCACTAGTAAGAACATCAGCGATTTTGCTCAGGGAAATTTTGAATAAACTGAGCGACCTGATTAATTAGTTGATAGCGTTCACAGAAGAAAATAGAAAAAAGAAAAAATAGTAAAAACATGAAAATGGAAAGATGAAATAGTGAGGATCATGTATTTGATGTTAGTAGGCACCTTAGGTGTGGCGTGGGACGGAGATTGGATGTTTTGTTACTTTGGGGAGAGAAGGCGGAGGATGGTCGGAGGGAGAAACTTGCAATTTCAGTCCCTTCTATCGTGGGGGGGGTCGTGCGCATTTAATGAAATTTCGTATCTGCATTGGGATCTTAATAGACTAGAGCTTGGGTGAACTAGTCCCGTTGTAGACGCGAGGGGTCGTATTGGGTTCCTGTGTGAGAAAGATGAAAGTGAATAATTTCTTTGTTGAAGATTGCCACCTATTCTCCTGTCGTTTGATGTGTTTTTTAGTTTTGAATACACATATTGTAATTTTTTGAGTGAGGTTATATATAGTTTGTTAATATAATATCCTCGTAGTAATGTATGAATAATACACTTTTTAATTTCAGTTGTATGATATTTTTGTCTTTTTGTCATTAATTCTATTGTCGACAATCTCTATCTCCTTTATATCTATTTTGTGTTTGTCTCACCTTCTTAAGGACATCAGCGATATTGCTCAGGAAATTTGAAGTAAACGGAAGCGACTGATTAATTATTTGATCGGTTAAACAGAAAGGAAAGAAAATAGAAAAGAAGGGAAAAAAGAAAAAAAAGTATAAGAAATGAAGAGAGAAAAGATAGAATAAATAGATCATCTATTTGATTTTAGGTAGCATTAGGAGAGGTGTGGAGGAGATGAGTCGTGCTTTGGGGGGAGGAAGAGGTGTAGGCGGGAGAATTGAAATTTAGTCCATTTTTACGGGAGGGGTCTGAGCATTTTTATGAAATGTCGTTTCCTGGCAACGGGATATCTAATAGGAATAGATTCGTAAAATGTCCTTGCAGACCGATGGGGTCGTATTGAGGGTTTCTGTAGCAAAGAATAAATGAATTATCTTTTTGAAGATTGTCACTATTTTATGTGGCTTATTTTGGCTTCATCCTCCAGTAGCATGTGAGATTATTCGTCCACGATATCTCCTGTACTTTTGTGTGTTTTTTGAGTTTGGAAATACACAAGTAACTTGAGTGGGTAGGAATATAGAAATCCCGTAGAAAGAATGAGGAAAAACTTTTTCTAAATTCACTTGCGTCGAAATTTTGTCGAATTTAACTCTTAATATATATACTATTCAGACTGTTCCACATACATATACTACAGTTTCCAATAAGGGTGATGTTGATCCAAAAAAAAACCAAACAGAAAACTTTCTTTCCAGCTTTATCTCCTACTGTGTGGATTATCATCAGTCTTATTCAGCGTAAGTTATTCACTGTTAGCTATAGAAATAATATTAATATAAGTTTATGTCATTAATACAATTCTAATCGTACCTATTAATAACTGTCCGTTGAATAACATGAGTAGTCTTTTGGTAGCTGAAGGTCGTTAGGACAAAGCAGCGCAAGTTTGTCTGAGTCTGCATGTCATCCTATTCGTAGTTCTGTGTAAATAATAATAGATATAGTAAACCAGTGGGATATATTGTCGGCTGCCGGTGGCCAGGTAGCCGGATTCATCCGCATTCTCCAGAACTGAGTTGTGACGCAATTAAAATCAGAATAGGGTTTCGCTCAATTTGGCGCTACCTGACGGTTTCATTACCATATCTGTAGGAATAGGGCTTTTCGAACATGTGTGCTGCTTTCGGATCGAAAAAGATGTTTGATTTCAGTAGACGTGTGAAGACATTGTACGCCTGCACACCGGATCACGAGTCAGAGCTGTCGTTTCAACCAGGTCAAATTATAACAAATGGTGAGTGCAGTCTGAAGTTTTGCTTACAAGGGAAGGATGGTAGGTCGAAGTGGCCGTTCGAAATGAAATGTATACCTCCTGATGCGTCTCCAGACGCTGATTCCAAATCTGCCTTCCAAATCTGCTAAACGACTCTCCGAACGGAGTTATGAAGCGTAATAGCTCAGTGGTGATGGTCCGGGGTGGCAGGTAAAAGCTCGTAGGATCGGTTCCTTTGCAAATTGTTGCTTTGCTTTTGTCTCTAGAAGTGTTGCGGACAAAAGCAAAGCAACAAACTTGCAAAGGAACCGATCCTACGAGCTTTTACCTGCCACCCCGGACCATCACCACTGAGCTATTACGCTTCATAACTCCGTTCGGAGAGCCGTTTAGCAGATTTGGAAGGCAGATTTGGAATCAGCGTCTGGAGACGCATCAGGTGGGCATATCACCGCTCTCATTTTATACGGCCACTTCGACCTACCATCCTTCCCTTTGGTAGGAATACTCCTGTAAGTCCCAACCGTCGTCCCCTACATTCACGCTTCTCTGTTTCTTAGATTCTGCTTCGCTAAGGCGGTGTTTGGCGTGGGATGCTCGGTATTAAGATAAGGATTGGTGCTTTCCACCTTTGCCCACTCCTGCCCATAGCCGCTTCTTGCGTCCCAATTTTAGAATAAAACTTTGTCTGGACTGAGTGTTGGCATTCACTGGCCATCGAGACTCCCAATGGTGCTAAACGACACGCGCTCCTTTGTCCATAGTTTTTCCTGATGTTTCTTTTCCTACAATCTGCTGGCGTGCTTGCAAATTCGAAACTGAGAAAAAGGGTCTTAGATACTACGGGTCAGGGTGGGATCGCCGTCGCGCGGCGGAGAAAGCAGAGACGCAGGTCGTGACAATGCAGCGGCGTGCTGCTGGCAATTTCTAGTGATGATACTACCAAAATCACTAGCAGACACGCGGAGTGAGCTCTCCGGGGCGTGACCGCCGAGTGCGTGTCGTGCCTTCTTGCCGGGAGGCGCTAAGCGGCTCTGCTCCGTTAACGCGCTTTTTCATCTCTTTGAAGTTTGTGCTTGAGCCACAGTCTGGAGGTTTTGTTGTTACAAATTTCGATGAGTGTACCATAGGTGGAGATCCACTGAAAGATGAATTTTTGCGCCTTTCGCTTTTTCACACGCCTTGAGAATCAACCGCAGTTTTTGCGTGCACATTGTATTTGATCCGACACTTATTATCCAGTCCGCTGAGAGATGTCCACTTGAAGGGAGTGAGTCACGATGGCTGAATTGTAAGCGCCTCGATGACCTGCCAGCGACACACACATTGGTGAACCGAGCATTAAAACAGTTGTGCTGGGGGGGGGGCGGGGGAACATCACACACATTCACTTCCACCAATCACTCTATGGCGATGCATAATGTCGCTCTAACACTATGCCAAACATTTCACTTCCTTACCGGCGACTTTATGTCGATGTGTTTCATAATTATTCAGTGGAATCGTTATTTATTTGCTATTTTGTAGTGTACGAGTCGAAAGAAGAAGGTTGGTTGGTTGGCACACTCAATGGAAAGACTGGTCTAATACCATGCAACTATGTGGAACCATTGCCGTAACGCCACTCTGTGCTGTCACTGATTTGGAATCGTTCCACCTACGGATTGACTACGATTCAGCGCCACAATTTGCGCTGATTATTGTGATTCTTTTGTACGGGTATTATTCGTGACGTTAGAGAATCTCTTCAGGGCATGTCGTTGTCAGTCTGATGTTGTTTGCTGATCGTTCGCGATTATTAGAAGCCAGTATTTCATCGCTAAGTCTAATTATGTGTCTATTGGAGTCCTCGCGTAATGTGGTTTTTGTCGTTCTCTCATGGGTACACGACAAGAGGCCCGTTGCGCGGCGAGAAGGCAGAGACGCAGAGGGGTAGTGGACAAGTCGCAGCGCGTACTGTGAGATTTCTATTTGAGAATTTGACGCGAAATCACTACAACACGCGGTGTGACCCGATTGCGTCTCTGCCTTCTTGCCGCACCACGGGCCTCCTGTCGGGTACCCTTTTTTCATCGCCTTTGAAGTTGTAGCTTGGCCACTCGGAGGTTTTTGTTACGAATTCGCGGTTTTCTTTGTCATTGTTTCGGTTTCTCTTTGTTCTTTGTGAAGTACAGCTCTATAGAGTAGATTAACTAACGGGTATCGTTTTTCCCTTTCCCCGTCCAAATCCCATAATATTTAGAGATCACCACCAGCCTGCTACATAACGGACTCCGCTCTCTGTCGTCTTCCGCGCTCATTGTCGAATGCGAAGTGATGTCTGTTCTGTCTGTCTGTGTGTTAGTTGCTGGCTTGTGCTCCTGCGCTCGTCGTGTATTGTCCTCGGTTTGGGGTCTCGCCTACCTGATCAACTTGAGTTTCGCTCTTCGAGGGTGGCATCTCGAGATTGTATAGTGTAACACAATGTTCCGTTCAACTTCTATGCGCTCCTAGTCGCGCAGCGATGCTTCAGCAACGTTGCAGTCTTGGGTTTTCTTTTCTTATGTTAGTATGTTGTATAAATTCTTCACGGTGATTATTCTGTGTAAATTATGACGACTAGAAGGTTATTGTTTCAAGTTGAGAAAAGCACAAAGCACTGAAAAAAAATCTGCAAGGAGTTGAAGGTGCAATAAAAACGACTAGGAAGGAATGGCGAACGTAGAGGTCCTGGTGAATATCAGGGTTCAAGAACATTCTGAACTTAAAGTCACACCCAAATCGAATTAGTGGGGTCGCAGCGGCCGAGAATCGAGTTGACAACAGCTGACAGACAGTTGAAAGAAACAAAGAAAACCAACGGTGGAGCCCTAAACAAGGATTCCTTGAAATAAGGGAAGGGGCGGGGTCGGACGAGTTATACGGATCCACCCGCATGTATTTGAATTAGCCGCTACTCTGTAATCTGAGTTGCTTCTCATGGGCTGTGCTCGACGTAACTCGTCCAAATGTTTGGATTAGTCGCCAAACGCGAACTTTTATCACCTTTGCGCTGTTGTCTGCGCACTTTCGAACTGCGACAACGGTACGTCTGTGATACCCGTGGGCTACTCGATCCCATCCACTGAGTGGATCCTTCGACACAACTGCTCAAGGTGTTGCTTTGAACTCTAATTTTTATTTTCTGTAGATAAGAGTGCGATTTAAGACATGCTCCAGGATCAAACTGGATTTGGTTCTTCCA